AATTTTGTAGGTTTTAACCAGTATTTGTCATGTTGGTTTTTACCATCAAATATTTTTAGAGTCTCTTCTTCTCCTGGTGTTCTTTACTTCTTGTTGTGCTATGGATCCTCCCAGGAGTCATATGTATGTTTTTTGTGTTATTTTTAATATATATATATATATATATATATATATATATATATATATATATATATATATATATATATATATATATATATATATATATATATATATATATATATATATATATATATACACACACACACACATATATATGACTTCTTAATAATCTTTAAACATCTTTATTAACTATATTCAAATTCTGCATCCATTTAATCAAACAGACTTTAACTCAGGTTGTGAGCTATAGAAGAATGCTGCATAATTAAGAGATTAAAATATCTTAATTTGTCCGGTTGACAATTAAACTTTGTAATCTGTCAAGCTGTTTTCTCTCCATTAAGCAGATTTCCTAGTACCTTCATTCATGTAAAAAATAAGCATTCAATAATGAAGTAAAAGCAGAAAAATGTAGACTTACTCTTTTCCTATATTAATACCAGAGTTACTCTGCATGTATGAAAAATATTAGGGGTGCAGTCTGTTTTTTGATAGCTGCCAGTGAAAAGATCCCATTCCAAATTATCATAGGCTTTTTCAGCATCAAGAAAAAAATGGCTAGTTTTTGTTCCTCATAATTTATCCTAATAACATTTAGAATATAACTAATATAACTTATATAATCTTTCATGGGTGTAAAGCACATTTAATCAGGATGTATCAATTCAATTAAAGCCATTTAGCCACTTAGCAAGGAATACCATGAAGGGTTTATAATATTTAATAACAAAATGGATCTGTATGCTTCAGGATAAACTGAACTGTTTCCTTCTTCATGTACCTAACTTCTGTTCACTACTAGAGTTAAGGTTTATTCAGAGTTTCTTGAAAAGATTTGTAATATATTGCAGAAATGGACTTTTATTCTTTTTTAACTTTTAAATTCCTTCTGTAGTTTCATCTTAAGATTAAGGGTTTTTTGTTGATTGGTAAATTTTGTAAATAAAAAAAAAACCCTACTCAAACATTCTTCATTTTTTGCTGGATCAGATTCCTGTTTATTACAAGCAGTTAATGGTTATCTTTCATTCTGGAAACATATTTGGTTGTAATTCAAATAGATTCTTTGATGTTTTTTAATTTTCTTGACATAATCATTATGCCATTGTTTTTTCCTCTACAGCTTTTCTTGCTTACAAGTTCCTCCTTGGAAAATGTAATCTAACACAGAGGTCCCCAACCCCCAGTCTGTGGCCCTGTAATGGACAGCGGCCCGTTCGGAACTGGGCCACGCAAGCGTTGGGTGAGCGCATGTGTGTAGCTCCATTTCCACGACTGGTGGTCTCAAGCACGATTGCCTGCCACTCACACAAATGGAGCTGTGCATGTGAGCGCGCACACCTGTCACTCACACAGAAGCATTTCCTCTCTCCCTCTTGCCGATCCGCAAAGCTAGAAAGATTGGGGACTGCTGATCTAACACACACACATACATGCACACACACATACCCCTTTATTGCCTTTCTCCAATATAAGCTCCCAAGCAACATTAGATTTTTATAATTCTCTCTGTGCACCCTTAGTTTTGAAGTGCTTACAGTAGTTTAAAAATGTGAAAAACTGTTAATGTTCCTGTACAACTGTGCAGTATCCTAATCCCATAAATATAAAAAACTCACCCACAGTAATGTCACAGAAACACTTACGGGTAAAGGTGGGAAAGGAGGAGGAGGAGGAGACGTTGTATTTGCTTTCTTTCCATCCTTCTCTGTTTCAGGATGATCTGTTGTCTGGGGAGTTTGATCTTCATCCTCCTTTTCATGAGGTGGTCCTAAATCAGGACATTGTCCTATATCTGCATTTTCAAAGGCTACTGATTGGGCGAAATCCATTGGACTATGGAAACACAACGAAACCAGTAGCAATAGAAATAATGCCTTATTCAATACCCTTATATTTTATGTCCTTATATTAGTTAAATGAACAATTCAGGGGTTCCCAAAACCCAGTCCATGGACCAGCACCAGGCCGTGGCATGTCAGAAACCGGGCCACGCAAACAAACGAAGCCTCATCTGCAAGATGCTGGCAGCATGCGAAACCACACCCCCTCTGGTCCACGGAAAACCCTCTCTCCACGGAACTGGCCCCTGGTGCCCAAAAGGTTGAGGGCCGCTGGTGTAGATTATAAATTAATTTAGGTAGAACCCAGGTGACTAAGACTTTTTTCTCAACCTTAATCAACTTTCTGGGTTAAAATAGGTGACACAGAGACATGAATACTATTCTGAGGTGCTTAGACAAATGGCAAGATAAAAAATATAGTAAATCATCTCTTCATACCGAAGATCAAAGATATCCAAGGTCACTAATACAGGTAATTAAGATACTATTGTTGTGGTTGTTATTTTTAAATGCTGCTTCATTCCAGATGACTTGTGAACAGTTTACATTAAGAAATTAAAAACAATTAAAAGAAGACATAGGTGCTAAAGAGAAGGTAGACTCTGAATTATAGTAACTATCCTTAGGAGAAGAGGCCAAAATGTTAGTCTTGACTATGAACACGAGCCCTCAGGGAAAATTTACAGAATTTTTCAGAATGATTGAGCAGGCCCAAATCCCATGAAAATCTCTACAGGAAAAATAGTCCGACCCTTTCATTTCCTCTCCAGACTGATCGTGGGGAAAAACAAGGAAAGTCAGAAATGTTTTGATGTATCTTCTCCAACCTGCTGATCCCTTCCCCGAGGTGCAAAAGACAGCCAAGTCTTCTCTAGGACAGGAATGGGCATCCTTTTGATGACTGACAGCTACATTTCTGTGGGATCAGCCAAGGCTACTATGGACAAAGGGATGATGAGAATAGACAGGGACCAGGTTTTTTATTTTCTAGAGTTTGGGAGCAGTTCTTTTAAATCTTCTCTTCATGTAAAATATGGGAAGCCACAAATATTTAAGAGTGATATGTTTCTGGAGCGGCATTGACATATACTTACACAGCATTGACAACCAGATTCCATATACAGCCATCAAAGGCAGGTATGTTTTTAATTGGGGGTGTGTGAAATTCAGGTGGTGTTCCTCCCACAAAAAGTCTTTTAATGGAGATAGGATGATCTGTTGGGAGTCGCTGGGATTGTCTTCTGTCCTCATCTACTTGAATGGCAAACAGCCTGCAGAATTATGAAAAGCCCACCATCAGCAAATCAGCACTGCAATGATGGCCTTAAAAAAGCTGGAAAATTTGGTACAGTGAGAAAGAAGGATATGAATTCAGTTTTTCCCCTTTGACCACCAAATCTTGACTGTATGGAATTGTGCTGTTTGATCATGTCTTCCCATTGATTTATAGAGAGTCCTTGAATCTGAGAGCTGACATATTTAATTCAGCTAAGCTCTCTATACACAAAATACCAGAATAATTTAACAGTTTGTTAGCATCTTTAAACTGTAATTTCCCTGCAGTATTGCAAATTTCCTTCCTATCCTGGTTTACCATAGGAATAATATTTAACCAGTAACAAGTTACTAATGGACATATCCAAAACATATCCAGAATACTTAGATTCTTAGATTTATTTTATCTCTAGCCTAACAAGCATGACAATCACTGTTAAATTCTCCTCCTCCTCCTCCTCCTCCTCCTCCT